TGAGAAGAGATTGTTAAAGTCTCTATGGTGAAGGAGCCTCTGTGGGGCATTAATGAAAGTGCCTGTTGTATTACAATTTAGAGAGATTCTAGAGCCTTTTCTTATCGGGTGGCACACTCTAAGTGGTTATCAGCATAACAGACTTAAACAAAATTTGTAAATGAGGAATATATTGCCACTGAAACCCAAATAAATATCTTAAGTGTTAAGCCCACTTTAAAATAGCAGCTGTCAATGAAGGTGAGGAGTTGATTTCTCACTTCATCAGGTATGGATTGTCTCTGAGCTGATTAGTAATGCCCAGAAATTTTTCTGAAGTGTCAGGGCCTTGAAATTTATGGGACACAATGGCCCAACCTCATTTGGAAAGTTCAACAAGTGTTTGTATATCCTGTGTGAGTGTATCCTTTGAATTTCCTCACATGAGGATGTTATCAACATAATGTTATACATGTTGTCTTAGTATGTTTTCTGTTACTTATAACAGAATAGATAAAATGGGGTAATTTTTTTTTAAAAAAAGAAATTTATTTCTTACAGTTATGAAGCCTGAGAAGTACAAGTCGAGAAAGAATATCTGGTGAGGGCCTTCCAACTGTTGGGGACCCTGCAGGCTACCAAGGTGGCACAGGGCATCATGTGATGAGGGAGCTGAGCATGTGGACATGCTAGTTCAGATCTCTCTTCCTCTTTTATAAAGTCAGTATTTCCATTTCCATGATCCCATGATAACCCATTAATCCATTAATCTGTGAATGGATTAGTCTATTTATAAGGACAGAGCCTTCATGATCCAATCACCACTTAAAGGCCCTACCTTTCAATATTGCTAAATTGGAAATTAAGTTTCAGTACAAGTTTCGGAGGGAATATTCAGACCATGCCATTATTCCCTTGAACCCCTAAAACATGTGTTCTTCTCACATAGAAATATATTCATTTCATCCCCAATGCCCCAAAGTCTTAACTTGTTTCCACACCAACTCAAAAGATCAAAGTCCAAAGTCTCATCTGTGAGCCTGTGAAAGATGCATTCCCATTCCAAAAGGGAGAAAATAGGCAAGAAGAAAGGGATTACAGGCCCGAAGCAAGTTCAAAACCCAAGAAAGTAGACATTAGGTCCTAAGATTCCAAAATAATCTCCTTGACTCCATGTCTGGCACCCTCACTTTGGCTTGAGGATTTTATCCCCAAAGCCTCAAGCAGGCCTGCCCCTATGGCTTTGCTGGGCTTAGTTCATTCAACTCTCCCAGGCTGGCATTGTACACTGGTAGTTCTGGAGTTTCAGCAGTTCTATTCCCATACTCCTCAAGATATGCCCCTAGTGAGGACTCTCTGCAGTGGCCTCACTCCCATAGCCCCATCAGTCCCATGGTAGGAACTCTATAGCAGCTCCAACCCCATGTTTATGCTGAGTATTGTTTTGATTAAGTAGTCAAAGTCTCTATGGTGGCTCCACCCCTGTGACACAACGCTGCCAAGAACCCCAGGCTTTTGATGCCGTTCTTTGAAATCTGGGTGGAGGCCGCCAAGCCTCCAAAGCTCTCATTTTCTGAAAGCCTGCAGAATTAATACCACATGGACACTACCAGCTATAACTTGTGCCTTCCTGGGCTGCAACATGAGCTTCACCTGGGGCAGGCTGAGCCATGGGTGAGGCAGCCATGGAGCACTGTGCTAAAATGTAGGCCGCAGAATCCTGAGGCAACCCTGGGCAGTGAATCCGTGAAGATCACCCCAGGCCTATCCCCTGAAAGCATTCTGCCCTCCGATACCTCTGGGCCTGTGATGAGAGAGGCAGCACTGAAGATCTCTGAAATGTCTTCAGGGTATTTTTTCCATTGTTTTGAGAAATAGTACCTCACTCTTTTTTACCTGTGCTTATCTTTTTAGCAAATGGTTCTGTATGCTTGTTTTCCTCTCCTGAACATGACTTTTCACTCTACATAGCTAGGCTGAAAGTTTTTCAAATATTTCTACTCTGCTTCCCTTTTAATTATAAATTCTGTTCTAAATTGTTTCTTTGTTCCCGAATCTCAATGGAAGTGGCCTAAAGCAACCATGCAGCTCCTTCTATTTTGCTTAGACATTTCTTCTGCCACATACCCTAGTTCATCAATCTCAAATTTGATAAACAAAGCTCTCAAGTATAGACACAGCTCAGCCAAGCTCTTGTCCAATTTATAACAAGGATGGCCTTTCCACCAGTTTCCAAAACTTTGCTCCTCAGTTTTATCTGAAACTTTGTCAGAATGGCTTTTACTGTTCATATTTCTATCAGCATTCTGGTCATAACCACTTAACCAATCTCCAGGAAGTTCCAAATTTTCCATAGCCTTCTTGTATTCTAGGCCCCCACCAGATTATAGGCTTTTTCTAGCCTAATCCTCCAAATTCTTTCAGCTGCTCAGTATTGACTTTTAAAGCTGCTTCCACATTTTCAAGGGTTTGTTATTAGCAATGTGTGTGTTCCTGGAAAAAACTGAATGTGGTTAAGATCTTGCCTGCAAAGACCGTGTGCTGGCAGACCTGTTGAGATATCCCATGGAGAAGGGGAAGTAAGTGAAAGTATATTTCATTCAAAAGTGAAGGCTAATTGCTTGTGAGAGGCTGTTTGAACTATGCATTGAATTTAACATATTAGCAAAATATGTAAATAGCAAACTGTTTTCCAGCTGTTGGTTGAATGTGGTCAGTAATTTGGTAGTTTAGACATGGGAGATTAATGAAGGATACCACAGCGTTCAGGCTATGGTGATTTACTGTGAAGTGTCATTCATTTATATCATGTTTGAGCACTGGCCACAATGGGTTATTGAAAGAGAGACAATAGGAACAATGACAAGACCAGGCACACCCACCCCCAGGGAGTGTCCCTCCATTGCTCTACATTTCCCCACAAACTTCATGGCTGTGGCAGATTCTCTAATGGAACTTTTATCTCAATGGTCTCTCTAGAGCCTCTCTTCTCAGACATATGTTTACAGTTTGTTCTCAAAATTGCCAACAACTGAGGTTCATTAGCCTCTTTTGAACTTTGGTCCACAGGGCTTCTTTAGCTTCTTCAGGAAATTGATCCCATGTGCCTGCTCTAAAAAGAGCAGATAAAACCTGTGTTCCTCTAGCTAACACGGAAACTGCAAAGATGCCCATACCCTCCCATCTAAGAACTTCAACATAATCTCTCTTAGAACATAAATTTTAAGGAATTTGCAGTCTCTCAAAGTATTTTCTTCTGATTGAATAACCGCTATAGGCTTTTTTTTTTCTTTTATTATTATACATTTGAAGGTCTGTGTCTCTCAAGAACTACGATTTGATTCTGGATTGGATTCTTAGAATGGAAAATAATATGCTCTTTTTCCCAGTTAAGTTCCACAAGCTTGGATACTTCCATTAAGAGAAAAGTAGAATGTGGATGGAAGCCAATGGAAAACATGTTGAAGTTTATGCTACTCAAAGCTCCACATGGCACATCTCATCTTTTATTTACCTCTTAGGTACAACAAGGTAAATAGTTCACTACAGTCATTCAGATTGTCAAAGGTATGAGCATCATATGTTTTTAAAGTCATTGATTTTATCATTCTATAAATATGGATTATGAAATGAATCAACTGTGAAAATCTGGAAGAAAATGCAGTACTTGCTAAAGACTACAGGTTAGTACAAACAAGGAAGAGGGCTGCAGGAGACCCAGGTCAATGTTTAACATCATCTAGGACCTCCAAAAACTGTATGGGAAGATGGGAAGGCTGACAAGAATGATTGTAATAATACAATTTTTCTAATCCACTGCATGTAAATTAAAGGGACCCTTTTATATCATATTTCCCTCTTAATCAGAAAAATCTAAAGATGCACTCAGAATACTACCACCAAATTTCCCTTCCCTGAGAATTACCAATTTATTTACAAAGAACTCTTATTGTCAAAAACTTTTTCTGGCTTCTGTAAGACAAGAATACAAAACAGGAGAGTTTGGGTAATAAACTGTCATCTTTAGTTGCCATTGAGGACTCTAAACCTGAGCAAAATTCATTCCATAGTGCTGCTTACAGAGATCTTAAAATTTCTCTTCTCAGAGATATATCTCAAATCAATGCCTGGATGACTCTGAATGTGGCACAGAAACCTATAATAAAATGTTAATTAATATAACATATTGATGCTTAAGCCTTGTTCATGCAGAGGAAAAGGCTCACAATATAAAATGATATTATCTTCAGCATTGCCTGTATAGGGAAATTCCTACTTGTTTCTGAAACAAGGATGTCAGAGATTTGGACAGTAATGGAGATAAGGATCTACAGCAGATATCCAGTGAAGCATCAAATAGCACAGAGAAAGGAAAGAAAGAAACAGGAAAGCACAGAAAACAGAATGAGATAGACAGATGTGTGCCAAAACCACAGAAGTAGGAGAGCTTATAATAGAGTCAGGAGAAAGTGCTTTAAATGTGAAGATTTTATAAACATTTTGAAAGGAAGCAATAGGTTCAAAAACTTCTCTTTTTCTGGAAGAATAGTTATTCTATAATAAATTTCTCTTTTCTTTGGAGACTGAGTTTCACTCTTGTTGTCCAGGCTGGAGTGCAATGGCGTGATCTCAGCTCACTGCAACCTCTGCCTCCCGGGTTCAAGCGATTCTCCATCCTCAGCCTCCTGAGTAGCTGGGATTACAGGCATGCACCACCATGCCCAGCTAATTTTTGTATTTTTAGTAGAGACAGGGTTTCTCCATGTGGTCAGGCTGGTCTCTAACTTCCAACCTCAGGTGATCTGCCTACCTCACCCTACCAAATTGCTGGGGTTACAGACATGAGCCACTGCGCCCAGCCTAATAAATTTTCGTAAGTGCCCAGGAACAGGTCAACTTGAGAAATGAAAAAGGTTACTTACACAAAAGATATGGGGCTTGCATGGAGCCAAGTGCCATCCAATGGGACACTGGTTTGGGCCATCTGAATGGTGAGTAATGTATGATCTGATTCTGTTCATTAAAATAAGCTTTATCACTCCTGCCCTAAGAAATTCTTCCATTTTCATCATTCTCACTTTTTCCCTTTAGGTTTTCTGAAGGTCAACAATGAAAAACAGAACCATGTTTGGTGAGTTTATTCTACTGGGCCTTACAAATCAACCCGAACTCCAAGTGACGATATTCATCTTTCTGTTCCTCACCTACATGCTAAGTGTCCTAGGAAATCTGACTATTATCACCCTCACTTTACTAGATCCCCACCTCCAGACCCCCATGTATTTCTTCCTCCGGAATTTCTCCTTCTTAGAAATTTCCTTCACATCCATTTTTATTCCCAGATTTCTGACCAGCATGACAACAGGAAATAGAGTCATCAGCTTTGCTGGCTGCTTGACTCAGTATTTTTTTGCTATATTTCTTGGAGCTACAGAGTTTTACCTCCTGGCCTCCATGTCCTATGATCGTTATGTGGCCATCTGCAAACCCTTGCATTACCTGACTATTATGAGCAGCAGAGTCTGCATACAACTAGTGTTCTGCTCCTGGCTGGGGGGATTCCTAGCAATCTTACCACCAATCATCCTGATGAGCCAGGTAGATTTCTGTGCCTCCAATATTCTGAATCACTATTACTGTGACTATGGGCCTCTCATGGAGCTTGCCTGCTCAGACACAAGCTTCTTAGAATTGACGGTCATCCTCTTGGCTGTTGTGACTCTTGTGGTTACTCTGGTGCTGGTGACACTGTCATACACATACATTATCAGGACTATTCTGAGGATCCCTTCTGCCCAGCAAAGGACAAAGGCCTTTTCCACTTGCTCCTCCCACATGATTGTCATCTCCCTCTCTTACGGCAGCTGCATGTTTATGTATATTAATCCTTCTGCAAAAGAAGGAGGTGCTTTCAACAAAGGAATAGCTGTACTCATTACTTCGGTTACCCCCTTGTTGAATCCCTTCATATATACTTTAAGAAATCAGCAAGTGAAACAAGCTTTCAAGGACTCAGTCAAAAAGATTGTGAAACTTTAAAAAAGGAGGTTACACATTAATAAAAATATATATTTTCACTTAATAAATATGCATTGAGTGTCTATATTTCAAGTGCTAAATTGGCCCTTGAGGATAAAAATAGGAAAAGTATGTCTTAATTTCAAGAAAACTATAGTCTGGAATGAAGAAAGATATACAAATTTATAAAAAACAAAGTAACATTTTAACTGTTATTAGAGAAGAGTTAATGGAGATCCAAAAAGGAACAATTAGAAAGAATTAGTTCTAGCCTGGCACGGTGGCTCATGCCTGTAATCCCAGCACTTTGGGAGGCTGAGGCAGGCAGATCACGAGGTCAGGGGTTCGAGACCAGCCTGACCAATATGGTGAAACCCTGTCTCTACTTAAAAATACAAAAATTAGCTGGGTGTGGTGGTGCGCACCTGTAATCCCAGCTACTTGGGAGGCTTAGGCAGGAGAATAGCTTGAACCCAGGGGGCGGAGGTTGTGGTGAGCCAAGAGCACACCATTGCACTCCAGCCTTGGTGACAGAGTGAGACTCTGTCTCAAAAAAAAAAAAAAAAAAAGTGAGAAAGAATTAGTTTTGTTTTCCAAAAATTACTTAACATTTAAGAAGCAAGACATACTGCTTATTTAGAAGAGTAGGAGGATAAGAATTTAGAGTGAAAAAGGGAGCCAGATCATAAAAGTATGTAAATACAACTACTGAGTTAGTGGGGTTTCATGAGTCAAGAAAAGTTTTGAGAATTGTTCTGAGGAGAATGTAGTATTGACATTGCTCTTCAGCATGGATCCCTGGAAACTATGTTTCCATCAAGGAGTGAACAATTTTGATTCTCCTCCCTTTTTTCATTTATATTTCACATATAAACAAGGTAACTTCCATCCTTTCCTAAGAGGAAAATGAAAGAAAGAATATGTACATTTAGTCTACTTTTCTCCAAATGAGGAGAAAAATTCTTAAGATTTTTGTCAACTTATATGTCCATTTTTCTAGTTTATGGTTAAAAGAGGTTTCTAGAGGCAAGTTTAGAAGGCTTTCATTCTCCTAGACAAAATCTATTGTTTCTTTTCTTAGATGACATATTTTGAGTTAATGGCATGACATCTGTTTTCTCTGTCTTTGACAGTTTCTGGTGATTTTTTTCTTCCTATTGTGATTTTATTTTCATCTTTTTGTTTCATTTTATTAGATATTACAAAAGAAAATTCTGTTATCTGGCTCTACTTCTTTAACTTTCCCCCAAATTTTTGCTTTTATTTTTAACATAAACTATGGATGAACTTTTTATAAAGTGAAACAAATATAAAGTGTCATTGCAATTTTATGTCTAGAATGTTCCAAATTCTGAGTCTTGAAAAGCAACTAGAAATAGACTACCTACCAGAAACTTTACACACGGATTGAAGGCAATGACAACTTGAATTTGAATAAGTAGTGGTAGTGTCCAACTTCAATGGAAGTAAGGATTTTTTTTTAATCTGAGCACTTGTACACAGTTTAATAACATCCTAACACATTGCAGGAGCTTTGTTAGTATTTGGGGTACAAGTGGAACATAATCTGGTATTTTTCACATGCTTTATACGTGGTAATATGTTGAGTAGAATGAGGTACTTCTCAAGCATTTAAGGAACAAGTTGGATTGAACTGATTATGAGAGCAAATTCTCAAAACCACAGAAAGTACTGGAGAATGTATAATATTTCTGAAAAAAGTATTTTATGTAAAGCTGTTGCCTTTTCGAATATCTGGTTTTCTTTGGTTGCTAGCTAGAGATTAGTGATAATATTAAATATATTCCAAAATTATTGCACTACATTTCAATTGGTAGAGATATGTTCTTGAACAGCCACATCTAAATCATTAAGTTCCCCTACATCCACATATCTACCAAAATCTATGGTACAGCGGGAACAATGTCATATAGTGGCTTAAAACACAGGCTTTAGTTCAAATCTCAGATTTTCAACTTTCTACCAAAGTTACCTGGGGATACTTTCTTGATCTCCCTAAGGCTCACCTATGGCAACTCTAAAATGTTTATAATATTAATGTCGAACTTATAGTTTTGAGCATTCAGTGAGAAAATAAATGTAAAGCATTAAGATTGCCAGTATTTACTGTGTTTAATAAATGATCCCTATTATAACTATCTGATAATTATAAACAATATCTTTTTCAAGGAACCAGAGGTTAACTAGAAAGAAGGTATTAAATTGATTGGTTTAATATAACAGAGACTGTAGAAATGTTGGCCATTCTACTTGAAATGCATCTGCACAAGGCCAGCGTATTTCTACTTTCCATACATCCAGCTGCATGCTGGGTAGCTGAGTCAGCAAAGGTCTTACCTACACTTTAAATAAAGCCATCAAAATACTTGGCAGCAGGTTATAAGGACTGGGCTAGCATCAACTTCATTGCCCTAGATATCTATGGGAGAGAGAGGATGTATTAATATGCTGAGACAAGGAAGGAAGGTACTTTGTATCAGTTAATGTTTAAGACCACTAGGCAAGACTTCACCCAGCCTTCTTTATATAAGCACTTGGAAATGAATATGGAAAAGAATGAATCACCTTCTAAATGAGCTTGTCAAAAAAAAGCAAGTCATATTCTTCTGAAGCTGTTCATCTAGTCTGGCTTTATGTTAATACATACTTGGAATGTAATCCAAGTCACAGATAAGCAAAAGCAATGACTTCCCAGAGTCTGGTGCTGAGCTACCAGAATGTTCAGTATCTAAATATATAAAACGGCGAGTTTTATTCCTCATGTTACCAATGTGGACTAGAATTAAAAGAAACAACTTTAGCTGCCTAATATTCTCAGAGCAATATACCAGTGCTAGGGTGAGGAGATTATGAAAATGAATAAGAGCCAATCTGCTACATTTGGGCATTCATTCTTCCATTGCCTCTCTTTAAAGCTGCCAGAGCTTGTGGATGTATGGATTACAACTCTAAAGAGGTACTCTTCCAGTGTCATTTCTTGCAAAGAGTATGAAATGGAACACGAATAAAATATAATTTTTTTTTTGAGACGGATTCTCACTCTGTCACCCAGGCTGGAGTGCAATGGCGTGGTCTCGGCTCACTGCAACCTCTGCCTCCCAGTTTCAAGCAATTCTCCTGCCTCAGCCTTCTGAGTAGCTGGGATTACAGCCATCTACCAGCACACTGGCTAATTTTTGTATAAAATATAATTTTTTTAATTTTTATGTTTCAGCCAGGTACAGTGGCTCATACCTCTAATCCCAACTCTTTGGGAGGCTGAGGCAGGCAGATCACATGAGGTCAGGAATTCAAGAAAAGCCTGGCCAACACCGTGAAACCCCATCTCTACTATTGCATTGATGCAAAAGTAATTGCGGTTTTTGCCACTAAAATAATGGCAAAAACCGCAATTACTTTTGCACCAATCAAAAAAAAAAAAAAAAGAAAGGAAAAAAAAACAGAAATTGCATGCCTATAATTCCAGCCACTTAAGAGGCTGAAACACAAGAATCACTTGGAGTACAAGTGGCCTTTTGTTACATCAATAAATAAAATAGTGGTGAATTCTGATATTTGAGTGCACCTGTCACCCAAGTAGTGTAATTTTTATCTCTAGCCCCCTCCCATCCCCTTCTGAGACTCTAAAGTTCATTATACCACTCTGTATGCTTTTGTATGCTCATAGCTTAGTTCCCACTTATAAGTGAGAACATACAAGGTTTTTTTTTAACCTGTATTTATTTTATTGCATTTTAGGTTTTGGGGTACATGTGAAGAACATGCAAGATTGTTGCATAGGTACACACGTGGCAGTGTGATTTGCTGCCTTCCTCCCCATCACCTACATATGGCATCTCTCCCGTTGCTATCTCTCCCCAACTCCCCACCCCTCACCGTCCCTCCCCTATTTCCCCTCAACTGACCCCAGTTTTTAACTTCCCACTCCGTATTACTTCACTTAGAATAACTACAAGCTCCAACAAAATCAACAAACCCTTAGTTAGAATAACTAAGAAAAAAGAGAAGACTCAAATAAATTAAATCAGAAATGAAAAAGGAAACATTCAATACCACAACATATAAATAATTATGAGACTATTTTGAACAAATATACATCAATAAATTGAATAACCCAGAAGAAACAAATAAATTCCTTAAAACATACAAAATACCAAGACTTATTTAGAAATAAATAGAAAATCTGAACAGATAAACAATGAGTAAAGCAATTTAATGAGCAACAAAAAGCCTCCCATTAAAGAAAAGCTCAGGACCTGATAGCTTCAGTGCTGTTTTCTACCAAACATTTAAAGAATAATTAACACCATTCCTTCTCAAGCCCTTCCAAAAAAATTTCAAAGAAGAAAATTCTTCCAAACTCATTTTAGGATGTCAGCATTACCTTGATATCAAAACACAATAAGAACATTAAAAACAGAAAATCAAATGAAAATATCCTGATGAACATAGATGAAAAAGATTCTCAACAAAATACCAGAAAAACAAATCCAACCAGCATATTAAAAAGATCATTCCTCATGATGAAGCGAGATTCATTCCAGGGACACAAGGATTGTTCAACATATGCAAATCAATAAATGTGATACACTGCATTAAGAGAATGAAGTATAAAAACCACATGATCATCTCAATAGATGCAGAAAAAGCATTTGATAAAATTCAACATCACTTGATAAAAGCCCTAAACAAATTCAGTACAGAAGGAACATACCTCAACACAATGAAACAGTCTCTCAGATCACAGTGAAATCAAATTAGAACTCAGGATTAAGAAACTCACTCAAAACTGCACAACTACATGAAAACTGAACAATCTGCTCCTGAATGAATAATGGATAAATAATGAAATGAGGGCAGATATAAGATGTTCTTTGAAACCAAAGAGAAAAAATACACAATATACCAGAATCTCTGGGACATATTTAAAGCAGTGAGTAGAGGAAAATTTATAGCACTAAATGGCCAGAAGAGAAAAGAGGAAAGATCTAAAATCAACACCCTAATGTCACGATTAAAAGAACTAGAGGAGCAAGAACAAACAACTTTAAAAGCTACAAGAAGACAAGAAATAACTAAGATCAGAGCAGAATTAAAGAAGATCAAGACACAAAAAACCCTTCACAAAATCAATGAATCCAGGAGCTGGTGTTTT